GGTGGGGAAAGGCTGGGAAGGGGCCAGGATGCGGAGAGGGGCATGAGGCCGCGAGAGGCTTTGGGAGCCGTGCTGAGATGCTGAAGGTTTTTGGGAGGATGGGGAGCGCTCGGGGGGGATGCTGGGGGACAGGGCGGGGTGATGAAGCCTCCTTGAGCCATTAAGAGGAAGAAACACTCCTGAAGTTCCCGTTTGGGTCAGCGGCGTTGCTGTCAAGCAAGGGAGAAACCTGAAGGTTTTGGGAGCCAGACCGACTGCGTGGTTGTTTTTAGGGAGTTCCTGTGTCTAGGAGCATTGTTTAGTTCTGGCTGTGAACTTGGCTGGATTGTAGACTGGCTTTTTTTTTTTTCTCTGTTACGAGGCTGGGGAAGCACTGCTTTGGGGCTATATAATCATCCCACTGGGGTAGGGAAGTAACGGGGTGTTAGAGCTGGCCAAATCCTAAGCTGGGTATCTTGTGTGGCTTCCCCGCTTCTACCCCATAGTCTGTGGGAGAAGTCACAGTCGCGTTGCCTCTGCGCTTCACAACCGCCTCCCCTTTGGTGGGGTGACTTGGTGCCTCGGTGATGGGCGAGCTCATTTTTAATAGCCTGTGATCACTCTTTGTGAAAGGTTTTGTGCAGTTCTCTATTTCATCGTGGGTTTTAGTCTGTGAAATCAAATAAAAACTTTTTCTTGCTACTTTTTCCTGGTAAGTGGATGTGCTCAGTGTTCAAGCAGTAAAGCGGGCTCTTTTAAACTGCTGTATGTGTCAGGCATAGAGTGAGGGCTTTTATTTCTCTAGAAAAGTAAATCTAAGCAGTAGGTTTGCAACTTGTAATGACAGTCCTGCGGGGTCTCTGACTCAGACGGTGTTTTCAGGAGGGCAGGGCGAGGAAGAGTCTGGATTAGAGCTCTGGGTGCAGCGAAACTGAGCCCAATTTTACCACACAACCGATCTCTGTGCCTGTCATATCAAAATATACAAGGGGATGCTGGAGCCCTGGGCCCTAAAATGCCTAGTTTAAACTTAAAGAGTGCTTGCAGGAAGTGCCAGAATGCCATACGTGCGCGCGCGACCTGGATGTTGGAAAAAATGGTCTCTATGTCCAAACTCATCCCTGTCCTTGGTATATAACATGTTCACAAAGAAGCTTGTCAGTTTTTGAACAAGCTATAATCTTTAAAGGCACAAGGTGATGTCTTAAATATGAAATAATCAGTCATTTTGTTTGAAAATGCTAAGCAGAGATGCTATCCTTGTAGTCTTTATTGCACGGTAACTACATGAAGTTAGCGTTATACACTCCTGTCTATAGCTGCCCTCACTAATTTACTCTGTGGTGAGGTTTTAGTGCCTTCTTTCCCCCACTCTTTTACGAGCGGCTGGCAAACATCCACAGCGTGTCCTAGGGTGAAAGTGTGCTTTTATTGTCGGGGAAGGCATAATTTGCAGTTGTGGGAGGCCAGTTTGTTAGGGTCTTTTATTTTCCATGCAGGGAGGTTAGAGCAGTGCAATCTGGTGTGGTAATTCCCCAAAGGGAGGTCCCTGGGCGCTGTTTTGGATGGCGTGCGGGTCTCTTCCTTGAGCCGTAAATTTCAGATGGCGGGAGGGCATCCTGTGCTGGAGAAGGAACCTGAGCTGCAGGGAAGGGTCTAGGTGGGATGGAGAGGATGGGGAAAAGGTAATTGGGTATCGTGAGGGTCCTTCATGGAAATCCTGAGGGGTGCTGAGGGTGCGTGCGAGGGTTTGAACTTGAACAGTAACTTCTCCTTTATTAGCTCCCCTTGCAGGGACTTGCTTAACCCTAGCAGACAGGAAGAGGTATCTGTTAAGTTCACACACTCTTAATCTGCACTGACGTCCATGCGCAGACAAGCTCGTCTGCTGCTCTGTAGGACTCGTGGTGGGATGCGTTTAGCAGAGTGAACACGAACAGGCTCTGGAAGTCAGGGTTTGCCCAGGGCATTTCGCTGACAGCCCGAGGTGGTGGTGGTGATGATGATGATTTTTCAAAGCTTCATGTAGTTTTGTGCTTGTTTTTTCTAGATAGTGTCTTGAGCATCTCTTATTGAGTTCCCCAAAGCTTGATTTAACCTGATTTTACTGTAGGGATAGTTGCCCCAGTAAAATACCTTCGTGCAAAGAACACCCTGTTTCACCGTCACGCCACGGACGGGTAAACTCCAGCGGCAGAGTTGTTTGGGTGTGGGATTTGCACCGTTTGCATCTACTTTGACTGAAAATAGGGCCATGTCCACAGGAGGAAGAACTAGAGCTGCGTGCTGCGAGGAAGTAGCAGTTTCTCCCGAATGTAAAGATTGGTGATGAAATATTAATACTCCCAGCTGAGTCACCAGCCAGACCGGATTGGGTCTCCTGCTTCCTAAACTGATCGGGAGTTGTACAGCTACATGAATAACTTAGTCTGGTTTCCCAAGAAAATGAGGCTTGTGCGATATTGCTGCTGCATGTGGCTGGCTGCACGTTTCCTGCTCTTGGCAACTTTTGAGTCTGTGCCTCTCACAGCCAAATCAGGCAGGAGGCAGAAATCTGACAGTTAAATTTCTGTAAGTTTCATGAAAATAAGTACCCTGGGAGAGGTGGGGGAAAAAACCAGTCAGCGGTGCCTGCTGTGGGAGAGTGCAGCATGAGCTCGGCTTTTGCTAGGTAGGAGAAAATCCACATGGGGAGATGACCCGTGGGATATATTTGCAGGAAGCTAACTTAATTAACGCTGGTGCCCATAGGACAGCTCGTCAGGTGCATCCGCATGGGTGTGCGGTTGGTAGGGCCTGGGATTCTTCTGAAGGGTTCCAAGCAGTAGTAAAGGGTGAAAATGACTGAGAAGCTGTAAAACTACAGCTGCGCTGGTGTTTGCTTATTGACAGAATTAGCTGCTTTGTATCTTGTTTCTGTTAGGTAAACAGTAAGAAACTGAGGCAAAGAGGCTACGTGCTCCATCTGATGAGTCATTGTCTGAGCCGGGATTAAACTTGCATGCCTCTTGGCGTGCGGGTTTCTGCTCAGTGAAACCCACGAGCTCTGTAAATGTGAGATATCACAGTGGACCTGAACCGCCTGGAGAGGACACTGGAGAGCTGCCATTTGCTGAGTGAGGGCAGGCAAATGTGGTGCCGAAAGCTCCTCCTGCCCAAGAAAGCTGGAGCTCCCTCCTCTTAACTTGTGCAGTGTGATGTTAGTTGCTCGGATTCTACCTGGATTGCCTTCCCCAGAACTGGCATTAAAAAATTCCTTGTCTGGCCATACCCTAATTTCCAAATGTCTGTCTTATTTGAGTCTAGGGTAAACTTTTCTGAGTCCGTGGAGATACCTGTGCAAGCAAGACGGGAGATCCTATCCCCTGTGAACAGATGCACTGCTGAAGGACAGATAAAATGACAGATGACCTGATGGCTCTTGTGGCTCAGCTGTGATTCTCTTTGAAGGAATTTATAGTTTTCCCTGCTGTAACAAAATCCTTTCTGCTCCCAGGTGATGTTGGAAACTATTATTATGGCCAAGGACATCCTATGAAACCCCACAGGATCCGGATGACCCACAACCTACTGCTGAACTATGGCCTCTACAGGAAGATGGAGATATATGTAAGTGTAGGGCTGGTCATGAAAAGAAATATATATGAAAGATCTTAGTTTATGTGTCAGGTTTTAATTTTGATGCTTCAGACTCGCAAGTTCTCTGTTGACGAGCCAAAGAGGAAAGGGGGAAAAAAAAAATAAACAGTTGTGCTGATGTATGTCTGCTTTCTTCTGATTGCTTGTAGTGAGATGTTCTTTGCTTCAGATAAGCTTTGGAGACTGGAAAATTGCTTTTCTCCCTGTAACTTAAATATTTTCTTTGTCTAGATATGTAATACATTTCAGTCTCCGGTAATGGCATTCTTGCCTTTGAAAATAAGTTTCTCTTGTTTAATGCTGCTGTTTTGAGTTTTTTGCTGTTCCTGGGAGTAAATCTGAGATTGAAAATGGGAATTAGGGAGGGAGATGTGTTTCAAAACAAGCCTTGCTCTTTTTTTGTCCTTGCAGCGCCCTCACAAGGCAAATGCAGAAGAAATGACCAAGTACCACAGTGATGACTACATAAAATTTCTGAGATCTATTCGCCCAGATAACATGTCTGAGTACAGCAAGCAGATGCAAAGATGTAAGCCATGCGGGTAGTGCTGTAGTTCCTGTCAGTGTTAAAATTTGTGGTTCTGGGAATCCTGGGCCAGCTTTAGAGGTTTGTGATAAAAAGAGTAGGAAGAACCACGGGAAATTGCCTTTCTCTTGACTTTGTTTTTGATTTTTCTGGCAAATCAAGCATTTTAAAAATGGGTCCCTCTCTCAAGCCAATACGCCCAAAGAGCTGAGGAAACCCCTTTGACCTGGCTGTCTTTTTTTAGTCTTGTGTTTTGATGGAAACTCTTCTAAATTACTTTCCTGGCTCAGAGATGACTGAACTACTCCATTTATGAGCTGCATGTGTTTTGTGTTATTGCTTATCTTTAACCAGAGGTATTGAGGTGGGAAAGGGTTGTATAATTTAAAACAAACAAAAAAATCCCAGCTCATCAATTGTGTCCAAAATCTGCAGTAACTCTGAAGGATTTTCAGGACAATGGCAGTTTGGGAGTGGGAAAGGATTGAGATGCACAATGATACCTGTCCACTTTGTGTTAGAATGGTTTATTTTGTGAGCTAATCTCTTGTTCTAACCTCTCCAGTCCATGGAAGGGCTCTTTAATGGCGACTTTAATGTTACAGAAACCTTTTTTTGGTCTCTCTGCAACTCAGAGCTGACGTTCTTTGGCAATGGCTGCAGCAAACTAGGTTTCTAGCAAGTATAGAGAAATACTGGGGAAGGCTCAAGGTTCATTTAAACGGTATTTTGGTTTTGCACACTGCAATCCTCAAGAGCAGAAAAAAGTTGTTAGCCCACGGGGTTCATTTATGTGGAGTAAGTGTAATCTCCAATTTAGAGGAAATACGGGTCTCGAGTCTGAAGTAGAGGCACTTGGAAATCTGATACGAGCTGAAGGGGACAGGTAGACAAGCACAAGCACGTAAGAGGAATGGGTAATATTGTTCATGAGTAATATACATTGAAAGACTTCCTACAGTAAATTATATGCCTTAATATACCAAATTACATACACCAAAGTACATATTTACACAAACTGAACTGTTTACCCCTGAAGCAGATACGGCTCATAAACACCCACTCTGCTGTCCCTGGTAGTCAACATTTTCTGTACTGTACTTCCACAGAACTATTTTTACCGGAAGGAGGCAAAATATGAAAATTAATCTTAAACATGCGGAGGACAGAGCTTTTCTTCAACAAGACCTGCAAAACAGTGGCCTCTGTGTAGCTAGAGAACTAGCACAGGAGGCTCAGAACAGAGATTAGGGATATAGGAGACAAGGTCACCGCTCCCAAGTGCAGTGGCAGGTCTCTGTAGCCTGCTTGGTGCTTCAGCTTTCCCTTTGAGGGAAGGATAGCTGCTATGATTTCCATAAGAATGTTTCCACCTTTAATGCTGGGCTCTCTCTGGTTGCGCTCTCCCAGATACGAAGCTTCTCACCCACCCATTGCAAGGAAGAGGGAGCATCTGTGCCTCTCATCTTCCACCAGAGCTTTATGCCTATAGTCAAGTGGCTGACTCCTGTTATCAATATCCCTCTTTAGTAGTCCTGGCTGCTTTGAGTCTCCTGGTGAGAAAAAGCCCGTTGGCTTCTGTTTACACAGCAGCTCCTGTCTTTGCCAGGTGTAGCAGAGGGATGCCCTCAAATACTGTCAGTGCTGCCCACGAAGTTCTGAGGGGCAGTAAAGGTAACGAACAGTCTCTAATTTCATTCTGCTAATGCTGTGTTGCCTGCCTGAGGACCTGGGAGGACTACTCTGTAACCCAAAGGGCAAGAAGTTTAATTTGTTGTAATGGGATGCATGCAGAAATTGATGACTTAAATTCGCCTCACTTAACAGGGAAAGCTTCCAACCACCTCTTTGAGTTAATTATTCAAACTCTGCCAGTTGCCGTGCCCTGCTGAAACAATTGGAAAGCGGGAACAATTGCTTCCTTCTGGGTCTCCTGATGGGTATTGTCCTTTTCAGAGATCCCTGTCCCGAACTGGGACCATTCAAACTCCCTTATCACACAGCCTTTGTGGAGACTACGCACTGATGAGTTTCTAACGCTGCAAGAACTGTGCTGTTTGTGCCTTTCTCGTTAAGCACAGAAGTAAACATTCTACAGATGTTGTTACAAAAATACAGATTTTTTTTGTTTGTTTGTAAAAGCAAATCTTGCAAAATCTAGATTCAATATGTCTGTTGTTACTGTTTTTATTTTTAATCATGAAACTGTTTACAGTAGAAATTTATCCAGGCCAAAACTACAGTACGGCTGAGAACTTAAAAACCGACTGTCCAATGTGAAGTAAAAGGAGTCTTTGAGGTGTAACAGAACAGATGTGGATGTAAACTTCTCGTCCAGTACACGCCATTATCTACCATCTCCCCACTTTCTCCTGCAGCGCTGGCACCGTTTGCTTTCTCGACTCCTCATCAGCAATACAGCAGGAAACAGGAGCAAAAACCTTTTCCACTTGCTGTGGGGTTGTGTAACGGAGCTCAATGCCAGCTCTGTAGTCAGAAACAGCACTATTCCCCCCAAGAAGGCATGGTTCCCGGGCAGCAGATCTGCAGCATGGTCCATGTGGGGTAGCGAGGGGTGCTGGGCCCCCATTTTGCACAGCCTGCATCTGCCCCTGGTGACCAGCATGTGCTGCTGGAGCAGAGCAGAATACTCAGGCAGGCATGGTTCCCGGGCAGCAGATCTGCAGCATGGTCCATGTGGGGGAGCGGTGCTGGGCCCCCATTTTGCAACAGCCTGCATCTGCCCCTGGTGACCAGCACGTGCTGCCGGAGCAGAGCAGAATACTGTAACTGTGCCGCCTCAATGAGCACTGCTTGAGTTGCTGCTGAGGACGTGTATCGGTATTACACAGCTCTTATTGATAGCATCTCTTCTCCGCCCACTCATTTTCCGACGTGATTGACTGGTTTCTGGATCCCTCGTAGCGCACCCTGGTAGATGGCGTGCCATTCTCGCCAAAGCTCCTGGGACCTGCTTTCCTGTTTTCTTACAAGTCAGGAGCATCTTCCCTACAGCAGCAACCTTTTTGCCTCATCAGGCAATCCTCAGGTTGATTATGTTAATGTTTTATTATTTGTGTGTGGTATTTTGTTGTTTAAAACGTTTGATCGCTTATCTGGTGTTGTGGTTTAACCCGGCAGGCCGCTGAACACCACACAGCCGTTCGCTCACTCCCCCCCTGCCCCAGTGGGATGGGGGAGAGAATCAGGGGGGAAAAAAAAAAAGAGTAAATAATAATGATAAAAGAATATACAAAATAAGCGATGCACGATGCAGTTGCTCACCACCTGCTGACCGATGCCCAGCCAGTTCCCGAGCAGCAGTCGCCGCCCCCCCGGCCAACTCCCCCTGGTTTACATACTGAGCATGACGTCGTATGGTATGGAATATCCCTTTGGCCGGTTTGGGTCAGCTGTCCTGGCTGTGCCCCCTCCCAGCTTCTCGCCGGCAGGGCATGGGAAGCTGAAAAGTCCTTGACTAGTGTAAGCACTGCTCAGCAACAACTGAAACATCGGTGTGTTATCCACATTATTCTCATGCTAAATCCAAAACACAGCACTGTACCAGAAAATTAACACTATCCCAGCCGAAACCAGGACATCTGGTTAGCTTTTTAAATCAGAGTGGCAGTATAAGCTTTGCCATTTATTTGTGGTTTTGTCTTACTAACTCTTCTGTATTCTTTTCAAGTTAATGTTGGGGAAGACTGCCCTGTGTTTGATGGGTTGTTTGAGTTTTGTCAGCTCTCTGCTGGAGGCTCAGTTGGTAAGCTCACAAGTCGTATGTTCTTTTCTTTTTCTCTTAAGCAGATGTATGTAATGTAGTTCTGTCTAGGAAATAAATTGTTGTAGGTGGTGGTGGGGAAGCCCTGTGAACCTATTTCTGACTTCCTTAATAATTAGATCCAGATTTCTTCCCATGTGAGAGTTCAAGCCTTGCGTATTGACAGATCCCTCTGCATTTGTTAAGCATATCTTCACTAGTCCAAGTTACTTCACTGAATATGTGAAGGACTCCGTAAGCGGTATAACAACATTGTCGGCGATAGAGTTAAAACAGAACTGCAGCAGCAACAGGCGTTTAATAAAAAAATCAGCATGAGATTTACAGGGAAAAAAAAAGTTGTAAAAACCTTGCTCTGGGCAGGCATAACCTGGAAAGGAAAGAAAAGGGTTACTTTATCTGTTGTTTTTAACAAAAAGCCACTGACAGGAGGCAAAGTAGAACCTGAAAGGTTTCAGTAAGCTCCCTGAAAGCCGGAACATTTGAAACGCTTTCACTATTTTCAAATACTTTGTTGCAGAAACACTCGGTATTGCAGAACTGTGTTACTGTGCATAGGCGTTAAAGCTTTGTGGCTCCTACTCCCACAATGACATCTAGAAGTCTTTATTTCCTGTAACGCAGTTCAGCGGTACATACAAGTACTGACTGCAGCATTTTTTTGAAGTAGCTGTGCTCTCTGGTCCCATGGCTGTAGGTTCCACAGAATATATCATTTGTTTTGATCCTGGGAGACTTGCAAAATTTGCAGAAAGTTTATGAAGGGGCTGGGGGAAGAGAACTTCCTTTGTCTAAATGCATATTGAGTGAATGACCTAAATATATGTTGGATGAAACCTTTCATTAAAATCTTTTGTTCAGGGCACTGAGAAATCTAGACTGTCTTCAACTGTGACCCCAGCTAGAATGCTGTGGACTTGTTTGTGCAGATTTCATGCTCTGAGGCAAAAGTAGGAAGCGATCAAAAGTGTGTGCAGGCAAAACAGGCTGCATTTGTCTTCCCCTGCCTTTTGTTAGTTTGTTGAGACATCTAGTGTTAAACCCTTGGGCTTGTGCTTTGTAAAGTACCCAAACGCACACATAAGCAATGATGTGATCGTAAGGGACCAGTGCTTTACCCCTCAATCTCTGTCATGGAGCCTTCACTCTCGTGCTAAGATTTTGTAATTCTTCTCCCAACAGCCAGTGCTGTGAAGCTGAACAAGCAACAGACAGATATTGCTGTGAATTGGGCGGGAGGCCTTCACCACGCTAAGAAGTCAGAGGCTTCTGGCTTCTGTTATGTCAACGATATCGTCCTAGCTATCTTGGAGCTCCTAAAGTACGGGCAGTACTGTTTGCCCCTTTTGTTTGTCCGTTCTGCTGCATTTCCTCTGAGTCCTTAGCGCTTTCTTCCCAGTCTTCTTTTTGTTGCTTTTTTTAACTGTGTTTTCCTGGGAGGGCTTAATCAGCTATCTTTTGGGATGCGGTACCGTCTCTCCTGAAGGGGTATGTCTAACGGTGGCACTGTGCAGGAGGCAGAAGGCTTGGAGCATTGTGCCGTTGCTCTTAGGCCCTTCTCTCTATCATCTACCCTGGAAAAGGGGGCACAGCTGTAATATGTGACAGCTTTTGGCTCAAGGCAAACCTCAGCGGGAGGCTTGGACATAAAAATGCAGTCTGTTGGCTGAATCTGAATAAATTGAGTTGAGTCTGCCTTCAAAGATCAGTTGCAGCAGCAAAAGCCACTTTATTTTCCTCTGTGGTTCTGTTCCACTGCTGGCCAAAGCACACGTCCGTTCTCCGCAGCTCTTTTGCCTGTGGACTCGGGAGAGAGAGCTGCTTGGCAGCTGTGCAGCCTGGGGATTAGCACGAAGTTCCTTGCTCTCCTCCCATTTGCTCTGCTGGTGAAGGCAGTTTCTGCTTGGAAGAAATGCAGTATTTTGACTCCTTTCTGATCCTAGGTATCACCAGAGAGTGCTGTATATTGACATTGACATTCACCATGGAGATGGCGTGGAGGAAGCCTTTTATACCACAGACCGTGTCATGACCGTGTCCTTTCATAAGTACGGAGAATACTTCCCAGGAACAGGGGACCTACGGGTGAGAATGAAGGCTTAGCAGAAAATGACCCTGAAATTTGGTCTCTTCCATCTGTTTGCTGTCATACTAATTTAACTAAAATCACTGCTCTCTTGGGTTTTCCTGCTCTCAGAGTGACATCCTTTTTCTGAGGGCAAAGGTGTATACGTGAGGTAGCTGGCTCGGCTCTTGGAGCGGGTGCTTTGTTCCTGTGATCGTGGCCTGTATAGTAATAAAACCAAGGCTTTGATATCAGTCTCTTAGCAGCCTTCTGGTGGGATTATGCTCAGAAAAGTGACTCTGAAGATGGCACGTTGGTCGTCTGTAGCTACTTGCAAACTAAGCTGGGTCACACAAGCTTTTGGGTGAAAGTTTATGAGGGAGTACTTCTGTGCGTGTTGGTTTATCTTGCTGGCGTTTCCCCCTCTGAGTCAGTTCTGCATGTTAATGAATCATGGTGTGAACCGTGCCACTCTCTCAGGTTAGATACAGGTGTGGCTCACTTTGTGACTTCTGACATTGCCAGAATGCTGTTCTTAGGGGTGAAGGGTTCATTACCTTTTTTTCTGTGCTTTTTAGTGGAATTATATTTTTCTGATCTAAATTCTCGTCTTCCACTTGTGAGTCGTATTTTTTCAGCCCTGCCCAGAGTTTGGTGCTGGTGATGTGAACTTGTGTGCAGCTGCAGCATTCTTTCCTGGTGCAGCCGCTCTGCAGCATGAATGAAATAATTATCTTTTATAAAACACTTGGGTATGAGAGAGATAATGGAAATGTAAATATATATATATTCTTTCAAAGTAAGAACAGATTCTTCCAGTTACTAGACTGCACAGTCAGCCCAAACTGGTATTTTGGGCTGTGCATCTCTGCCGTGTACAGGTTTGGAACTAGAATTTTGGCTGCCGGTTTTATTGCTGCGTAAGAGAGTGGCTTTTGCCAGTGAAATGAGAGCCTGTGTGCTCACAGCAACATGAAAGTGGTGACAGCAGTAGATTTTTCTTCTCTGAGCACTGACGGCCAAATGTACCCATTTATGCCAAATAAGCTGCTGTTGGAGTCAACTGACTCTTGCCGCCTTCTGCCGGGACAGTATTTGTCCGTGAGAGCCTAGGCTTACATTCGGATTACACTGATGGAATCCCAGACTTCCCTTCCTAATTTGGGGCACAATTTGTGCGTTGCATTTGGTTCTCTGGTGACTTGTGGTCTCTCCTGTCTTTCGCTCTAATAGGATATTGGTGCGGGCAAAGGCAAGTACTACGCTGTCAACTATCCCCTCCGGGACGGAATTGATGATGAGTCCTATGAGGCAATATTCAAGCCGGTAAGTGAAGACATCTTTGCTGAGTGATTCTTTGTGGACCAGACTTTGTCATTGGGTGGCTCATGGAGCCATTCTTTGGGGAGATTGATTCAGTCTTCAGGGGCTGTATTCCTCCCTAACAATTGCAGCCTGTCGTCAGTAAGCTTCTCTTTGTAAGAGCCTCAGTGTTACCAATATAGGGGAGTCGGCAGCTGTGGGAACACTGGGATGTCTTCATGTCACTTGCTGACATGGACATTACTGTGTTGCTGTGACACTGTCCTGTGGAGAGTGTGTAACAACGGGTTTCTTGTTTAGGTGATATCTAAAGTGATGGAGACGTTCCAGCCTAGCGCAGTTGTCTTGCAGTGCGGGTCAGATTCTCTGTCAGGGGACAGGCTGGGTTGTTTTAATCTGACCATCAAAGGTAAGGGTACCGTACAGTGCCTGTGTTGAACTGGCGTAACGTGTAATTAGATTTCATTGAAAAGTTTGTTCTTCTGCCAGAGGCTCTGAAGGCTGGGTTGTTTTAATCTGACCATCAAAGGTAAGGGTACCGTACAGTGCCTGTGTTGAACTGGCGTAACGTGTAATTAGATTTCATTGAAAAGTTTGTTCTTCTGCCATGAGGCTCTGACCTTTTCCCCCACTGCTTTTGCTGCAGGTCATGCCAAGTGTGTGGAGTTTGTAAAAAGTTTTAATTTGCCTATGCTGATGCTGGGAGGAGGTGGCTATACGATCCGCAACGTGGCTAGATGCTGGACCTATGAGACTGCTGTGGCTTTGGACACTGAAATTCCCAATGGTAATTCTCCCCAGGAGCCTTTCAAGCAAGACTAAGGGACGATGACACTCTAGTAACAGAGCTTAGGGAAAAATGATGTTGCTGTGGGAGAGGTAGCAACCCGAAGATGTTTCATTAGCTTTTGATTATTACTGTGGAAGAGCTTTTGGATTCCCTGATTTGCAGTAGCTGTTCTCGTTTGCATTCAAGTCCTGTAGCTCTCCCCTCCAGCAAAAGGTACCCAGCAGCCTTGCCGTCTTACTGAAATGAGATGACCTTCTACTGAAAACTTCTGTGCACGCTGATAGTGTTTAACTGCCAAGTAAGCTTTGACTGCACTGTTGCTAAGTTGCCTGTTTTGATCTGAATTTGGGCTATGAGAACTTCAGCTCCTACACCTAGCCAAATGCAGCTGTGCTTTTATGTAGCACTGAAGTACAATGCGTTTGCGGTATTTCATTACTGGTCCAGTGGTAATTTGGTGTTTATTCCTTTTTAACTTGCCTGCAGAACTTCCATATAATGACTATTTTGAGTACTTTGGACCAGACTTTAAGCTCCACATCAGTCCCTCGAACATGACTAACCAGAATACCAATGAGTATCTCGAGAAGATCAAGTAAGTGTTTGTTCCTCTTCGCGAGACTGACACCTTCTACTGGGGGCTTCGCAGCCGTGGGTGGCATCTTGCTGACGGAGGTGTTCCTTTCCTGGCTGGCTCTAGGCAACGTCTCTTTGAGAATCTGCGCATGCTGCCACATGCCCCTGGTGTCCAGATGCAGCCAATTCCTGAGGATGCTGTTCAGGAAGACAGTGGAGATGAAGAGGAAGAAGATCCTGAGAAACGCATTTCAAGTATGTGCTTGTCTCTGGCGTGGTTGCATTGCCCGGCTGGGAAGTTTACTGTTCAGAGCCTGTGGGTGCCAAAGCTGAACAGGATCAGTTGCTGGAGAGTTCCTGCATGCTGGAGAAGCATGCAGGCGCTAAACTGAGTTACCTTAGTAAAGAGGGGAGGATATATGATTTAGATAAATCTCTATTCTGGCGTCCTTCAGTTTGAATCTGTTCCCACCTTTCTGACTGATTTTGTAAGATAAAGCAATGATGGTGAGCACTGCAGGGCTGATAGATTTCTTCTCTCTTGGAGAAATGGTGCTTTTGCCAGATGATTTCCCTAATGGGAGAACCTAGGCTTTAAAGTGAGAATTTAAATGGTTCCTGTGACGTAGGTGCTATGACAGAATACTTTCTGGGAGACTGTCAGGTTTGATCCCAGAAATTGTCTTCCACAGTGAAAATGCTAGTTTATATCCAGATTGGCTGATGGCCTTTAGATCTGGCAGACAGATTTTCTCAGTGTGAGGTTGGTTAACCTGCTTATGCTGTCAAGTCTAGACATCACACTGTACCTCATCCAAGTCGTACATGTGATCTTGGATCTTAGGCATGAGCAGTTAGGAGTGATGAGTTAAAAGATACGGCAGGTAGAAAGATAAAGTGTTTTTATCGTGGCCTAATTCTGGCTTATGTAGGCTCGTTAGTTCATTCCAGTGTGTAGATGTACTTGGAGAAGTTAGTGCTTGGTGTCTCCTGACTTCTTCAGATCTGCTGAATCTTCTAAATCTGCTAAATCTTGTCCTCTTTGCACTCAGTCCGCAATTCTGATAAGAGAATATCCTGTGATGAAGAATTCTCTGACTCTGAAGATGAAGGGGAAGGAGGGCGCAAAAATGTTGCCAACTTTAAGAAAGCTAAGCGTGTGAAAACAGAAGAGGAAAAGGAGGAAGAGGAGAAGAAAGGTAAGCATGAGAGCTAGGACTAGAAGCCCTCCCAGCTCTGTGGAACGTTGCCTGGCATGTACTTTCCTACTGCACTACCATGTGTCTTTTTTTTTTTTTTTTTTTTTTTTTCCCCCTCCTAGATGAGAAAGAAGAGGAAAAAGCAAAAGAGGAGAAAGCAGAACCCAAAGGGTGAGCCCTGTCTCCTGGCATGGCCATCAAATGGCTGTGCCTGTACTTCCTTGTGCATCTACCCATGCCCCCAGTGGGATGTTGCACAACTCGAGGGGTTGGAGGAGAGACGTGGTAGTTTGGATGGCTTTGTCACGGGCTCTTAACGGGAAGGAGTTTGCACGTGTAGAACAGCACACCTGATAAAGCGCTGTGAGAGCAGAGCCCTCAGTGAAAAGGGCTTAAAAATACCATGCCTTCATTCAGTGACATGTTACAAGTTTTAGATGAAGATGGGCCGTATAAGCAGCATTTTTAAGGTCGCAACTCTGGCTTGTTATTAAAGCTTGGGCACAGCCCGAGTTGCTTGTTTAAACCAAATTCTTCACTGTTTGCTTCCACAGGGTGAAGGAAGAGACGAAATCCACCTAAGATGGCTGCAGCTGGACAGTACCTGTCAGTGCGTAGTTGTCGTAGGTTAGCTTCTCTGGTTGCCTCCCATTCCACAGGATTTATATTTTATATATGTTTCTGTATATATTTCTATATAAATATATAAATGACTTGAGAACTGTAAATTATTCCTTGCTGCACTCCGCTGGGAGCAGATAGGGAGGATTCTGCGGAGTAGACAGACCTGCACTGCCCAGATTTGATGACTGGGAAGTTTCACTCTTGCCTTCCACTGCCTCCTTAGCGTGTCTAAAAAAAATCACTTCCTTTCTTTACTCTCTCCTCTGAAATAACCACCCTTTGAAAAGAATAATTTAAGTAGAAGTAGTATCTGCATTTCAGGTTAGGTGGAAAGATGGCCATGATTCTGCGGAGTAGACAGACCTGCACTGCCCAGATTTGATGACTGGGAAGTTTCACTCTTGCCTTCCACTGCCTCCTTAGCGTGTCTAAAAAAAATCACTTCCTTTCTTTACTCTCTCCTCTGAAATAACCACCCTTTGAAAAGAATAATTTAAGTAGAAGTAGTATCTGCATTTCAGGTTAGGTGGAAAGATGGCCATGAAATTTTTTTTTTTCCTTTTTTCTTTTTTTTTTTTTTTTTTTTTTTTTTTTTTTTTTGGGGGGGAAATTGTTCCCCATAAACCCCACACAACCCGCTTTTTTTTTTTTTTTTTTTTTTTTTTTTTGGTGGGAGAATATGAGTTCCCAAATGAAGCCTGTGAGAGACTGACTATTCCTTTGGTCTTCAGTTTGATTCCACCATGGCAAGTAACTGCAAGCTGGTGCCGCTTCTCAGGGTCAAATAGTGCAGTTCTTGAATAGAGTTGGCTACCTCCCTGCAGCAAACTCGTGGAAAGAGATGAAGCAGCTTAAAAGCAATCTGAAAAGCGCTTTAGTGAATCAGCCCAAGAGCCCTGCAGGTGCAGATCTGGAAAATGCAAAATGAAAATCTCCCTAATGTGGTGGTTAACGTTTTCCAAGATCTTGCAGATCCAGTCAGTGTGGCAGCATTATGCATCTCGAGTAAGAGAAGGGATGAAATTTTTATACCTTTTTTTTTTCTATACCTATGCCCCTCTTTGGGGGAGGAAGTGAGTTACTGCCCATTTGGCCGCCTGCTTTGCTTTTCCTGCTTGTTCTGCCCTCGGCTACGCGTGCTGTAATGTGCTTTCTCAGTACTGATCTGTGTCCTAGGCTGAAACCACTGCAGAAGTTCCCAACGCGTCTGAAGGCCAGACCGAACAGAGCCTGGCTGAAACCTCTTGTCGATGTGTGTCACTCACTGAAAAACTGTTCTCTGGAGTGAAGTACAAATGTTTTCAAATTGAACCTTTCCTCTCGCTTGCTCTCAAGGCCAGTAAATATGGAGAACCTTTTTATCAGCCCTCTGAGCTGTTATCTTCGTAAGGGAACAGCAGATGGGGCTCTGTACATTTCTATAACTACTCCTCTTCCTACTCCCACGCATTATCTCACACCCCAAAGTCTTTTGTGACCAGACCTGGCCTTTCTTTTGCATCTCGTTTTGTACAGCTGATCATTAGATGAGCTTTTGGTGAAATGCTTTGCAGAAGTTTTGCAGGCAGTTTTGACTCACTGCTCTCCTTTCTCAGGGGGATTCCTCTGTCCATAAGAGGATCTGTACCTCCCACGGAGCGCTGCTGATGGTTTCAACTCTAATAATGCTGCTAACTTAACACAGGTTATTTTTAAAATGTTTTATTTTTTTAAATACTTCTTTTCCCTTTTCCACCGTGAGTTTTCTAGTCTCTCTGAATCCGAGTGACATGTCACTCCCGCTCTTCAGTGTTTGTATGTGAAACGAGAGAGATCAGTGTATCTTTGTGTCGGGGTGGGGGGTGGGGGGGAATATATTGTGGTTTTTTAAAGATGCTTTTATTTTGAATTTGGAGAATCTTTGTAATAAAACTGGTACATTTCTATGGCTGGTGTGAGTTTGTACTGCGTTCTGCTGAGAGGAAACACTCAGAGTGGGAGTTCAGTTTGTTTTCAGAGCCATTGCTGGAAAATGGTGCAGTAGCTTGGTCATGATCATGATGTAATATAGGTCCCAACAACAAAAAATGACAGCTGTAATAAGGCGTTGGAAAGAAAGGTGAGGTGAGGCACGATTGCTTTCCCTCCTCTTTCAGGAAGAGGGCTAGATGTGTTGGTTTAAATGCCATCCACCAAAGCATTTTATTTGGAACATGCTCTATATGAAAGATTGCTTTAGTTGCTACTGTAAATGGTTTGTTGTTCCCCCCCCTGCCCCCCCATGATTTATAAAATAGCCTTGAAATTCTCTTGGTGACCATTCTCTCCAGAAAAGCTAAATCAAAATACCATGGGTTTTGTTTGCTCACAACTTTTCTACTAAGGGTCACTGGGGCAGTTTTTCTGCCTCTTTCCTAAATTACAGCTGGGTTCTCATCCAGCACCGCTGCTGATCCTGATTGGGTTTGCCGTTTGTTTGGAGTTACAGTACTTCACGCAGCTGACGCTTGCTCTGAAAGCAGTGTTAATCTAGAAAAGGAATAAGTTATGGGAAAGGAATATTTTTTTGAATGAACTTAAGTGTTTTCCAATAGATATTCAAGTGAAAAAAAATTCTTTAATTAGGAGCAGGTTAATTCTGCAGCCGAGCAGTGATCACAGCTGACATGGACACAAAAGGTTCATAAGCTGTTTGTGTGGTGAAGAAAAAGCTTTGCGTGGCAGTTGACTTTCATTGCTGTAATAATACTCCAGGAAACTTTAGTTCTCCTTTTCACCATAGCAGACACTTAAAATCCTCTCCTTCTTGAACAAAAACAACTGTACAATTCAAGTTACCCCTGCCAGATCACGCATGCCAGTGTGCAACCGCAGTCCTTCTCCCTTCCAGTGTTTCTTAAAATGGCTGCCGCGATGCCGTACGGCAGCTCCCTGGCAGATGCACTGAGCCCCGGATCTCGGCTGGGGCACAATGCAGCTGTGTCTCGCGTGGCAGACAGCGAGCAATCTTGGAAATAATTTGCAGACCACAGTGCCTACATTTAAAATAGCTGCTTTTTTTTTTTTGCCCCCCCCCCAAAAAATGAATAGGGATGAATCCCCTGCTGCATTTGGAAGCAGGTCACTTGCTTTAGTTTCCCCGCTATCGATAAGAGGATATGCTGCATAAAACTAAGAGTTTTGGCCATTCCCACCTACCTCAAGGGCTACAGAAGAGCAGCGACGGTCCTTTGCCCCAGGCCCTGCCTTGCTGGGGTGGTGCCAGCAGCTTTTGGGCAAAACAATGGTCCTCGCTTTTCTCCAGCTTCTTCTTTGCCTGCCAAAGCAGCAGGGGCAGGTGATAAGGTGGGAATTCGGGGCAGGCCACTAAATGGAGGGGCTGTGCCCTACTACTATAGCCTAAGCTGGCAGAAAGAGCTCTTGTGGAGGCTGTAGCCATCAAGCTCTGAGCTGCTGGAGAAGGGCAGTGCTCCTTCCTTCTGCTGCATGCCTGTCTCAGGGGGAAAAACAAAAAATAACCTCTATCCCTGTGCAGATCACAGGAGAAGTGATAGAGGCATCCATTGTGCCTTCATTTTCTCTTTGGAAGTAAAGTCTCTGCTCCCAGTGCATAGTTCTTGTGCTCTAGCATGTCTTTTCAGGAAAGAGAAGCCGATCCTATTCTAAAGCCACGAAAGAAAAAACCTTAGAACTAAAGAAACCAAGCTTAAAATGGGAATTTCACCCAGTAGCCCTCCTGGGCCACTCCTTATGAGAAAGGAATTTTTTTTTCTTTCCCCCCCACCAGGAAAAAAAAAAAATGGGGTTAGATCTCTAAGAAAACAGGTACCAAGCAGCCAGCTGAACAGTGCTCCTGAGGTAGCGACAAGAGGCTTGTGTGAGAAAGTCCTTTGTGGCTGTAGCTCTACATCTGCTGCAAGTCAATTAACTGCGAGCAGAGCCAGGGCTGGAGTGATTAAATGCAGCAGCTGTTGAACTAAATAAGCAACTGCTATCTTCCCTGGCCCTCGTCTGGCATCCAGGACAAGAAGGACTCAAGCTCACCCATAAAGGGGTCACCATTTATTCCTTTCAAATGTTACAATAAAGCCCATACAGCTTTTTTTTTTTTTTTTTTTAGAAGTTAGAAAATTGCAAATCAAGTTGTTTTGGCCATTAAAAAATTATTTACAGAGAAAACAATGTTGCTTCACATTATACAGCTGGCAGGCCCCCTCCCTCCACCCCACACCCTAAAAGTTATCCCTTAGAAGCAGAATTAAACACAGCGGACTTACAAGCTTTATGGTTTTAAGCCAATAGTAAGACATTATAAAAAACTAACCAGATTAGCTTTTAAACCATTGATTTCTATAAAAAGCACAAAATACTTTAAATGAAGTCAGAACCAGGAATGTAAACTGAGAAAAAAGAATCCATTGAACAGTCACTGGCTTGCTGGGCTTCGAAGGCTGCCGGGGGGGGGGAGTGGGGACAGTCGGGAGGCCAGCAGAGATACCAGAGCGGGATGCGAGATCTGGGTTCTTACAAACTGTAAATTCCAGTTATGTCCAGGATAGTCTTCCTCCACAGTTTTAAAGGATTCAGGTAAAACTACTCCAAGTTTGTGGTGGCGGTGGGAATCCAAACCAGCTTTCTAACAGGGGAGGGGAAGAAGTAACTCGGGTCAGGGGGGTAATGTCGGTTTTAGAAAGCATTGTCAGTTCTAGGTGGGACGGGGAGGTGTGTGGGCAAGGCAGCGAGTCCGTGGTGTTACCGGGATGGAGAGGATGGCGTAAGAGTCTCAAGTTCAGATGATGCCAAGTGGGCTCTACTCTTCCTTCTGCTCCGCTGCCGCCGGAGTTGTTGCGGGCTCAGGCCCCGCAGGTTTTGAGGGCTCCTCTGGTTTGGCTGTATCCCCGTGGCTTTCCCCTGGCTGCTGCTTCTCTTCCTCCTTGCTTCCCCCCGCTCCCACATCCTCCCTCTTGGGCTCAGCTCCCTGCTGCCCGTCATCGGTAGGGCTGCTCTCCCCGGGGCTGCCCTGCTCCTCCGCCATCCCCTCCTCGGGGGGAGCCGACGGCTCCGTCCCGCTGGCCGAGCAAGCGGGGTTCTCCTCTCCCTTGGCCTCTGCCTTGCCTTGGTCCTCCGTGGGAGAGGACCCAGAGGAGTCCCCGGCTTCTTTCTTGTTCTTCCTAAACGAGATCCCGCTCAGCTTGAAGGATTTCTTGAACGAGAACTTCTTCTTCTTCTTGGGGGTGTCCTTGGGGGCCGCGGCACATTCGGGTTTAGCATCCCCCCCTTCGGCGGGGGGAGCGGGCTCGATGGCGTCCCCGCCGCCCGGCTCGCCCTTGCTCTCCTCCTTGAGGGGTTCAGC